AGAGAGAGAGAGAGAGAGAGAGAGGGAGAGAGAGAGAGAGAGAGAGAGAAAAGGAATGAGAGAACAAGAGAGGGAGGGCGAGAGGGGGAGAGAGAGAGGGACGACGAAAAAGGGCCCAAGCCCAGCTACACGCCATGCATCGGGACCGCGCCCTCGATCCCAAACTTTGGCACCTGGAGGAACGCGTCACTGCCGTGGCCCTGGCACGTAAAGATGCTCAAGCCGCCGCCAAAGTACTCTGCGTACATGCGCGCGAGCGGGAGGCCGATCCCGCTGCGCAGCTGGGCGTCGAGCGCGAGGCCGTTCTGCAGCTGGGCGTCGAGCTGCGCCTGGCCTGGCGTCGCGCTCGACGTGCCCGCCGCCGCGGCCGCCGCCGAGGAGGGGCTAGAGGAGGAGGGGGAGCGAGGCGCGTCCTCGTCGGCGAGCCCGAGCTGCTGCTGCGCCTGGTGCCGCTCGAGCTGCTCCTTGACCGTGCCCGCAAGCTCGCCGACGCTCCGTAGCGCCATGATGCCCGTCGCCGTCGGGTCGAGCGGCGCGTCGCCCGCGCTTAACGGCGGCGTCGGCGCCGGCGCCGCGTCGAGCGCGAGTGCAGCAGCGGCCGGGTCCGCCGCCGCCGCGCCGAGACGGTGCTGGTGCTGGTAGAACCGGCGCATGTGCGAGAAGGAAAAGATGTCGAGGCGCTGCGCCGAGAGCGGAGCAGCGACGAGGCCCGACGACGTGGTGCCGCTGCCGCTCGAGGACGCGCCGCCGCTCGAGAGGAGCGGGCCGAGCTGCTGCTGGAGGTCGGCCGGGTCGGGCGGGAGGCCGCCGTACGGCGCGATGCCGCCGCCCTGGTCCGACACGCGCACCATGAGCTCGCGCTTGTTGTGCGCGAGCGTGACGAGGATCGGGTGCGACCCGGCGGCGGCCGCACCGTGTGCGGCGACGGTCGCGTGCGCGGCGCCCTTGATGAGCTCAAAGATCATGAACCTGCGGACGAGCGCGCGCGAGGTGGCGGGGGGGTTTTTCCGTCAGGGGCGGCTCTCGAGGAGCGAGAGAAGGAAGGAAGGAGGGAGAGGAGCGAGCGGGACGCACTCGAGGTGTTCCGAGATGTAGGCGAACGTCTGGTCCGTGTGACCCTCGATGACGATGGGCACGTGGGCCGCCGGGCCGCCAAGCTCCTTCATGACGCCGCGACACAGCTGCACGACGTCGCGCGCGTTGAGCCTCGTGTCGACGATGCCGACGTGCCGTGCCGCCTCGGCGTCATCGTCGTCGACGACGGCGCGCCCTTTGCCCTTGGCGCTGCGCTGCTGCCGGTCGCGGAACTGCTGCGTGAGGGCAATGTGCTGCTCGGTGATGACGCGGCGCGAGATGCGCGAGCGCAGCATGCGCAGCATGATGCGGTCGAGGGCGGCGGCAGGGAGGTGCATGGGCGACGTCTCGGACACGCTGCGAGCGGGCGGGCGGGCGGGCGGGCGGGCGGGCGCGGGGCAAGGTCAGCTCTGCGACGTGCAGGAGAGCGAGAGAGAGAGAGAGAGAGAGGGACGCACCCGATGGCCATCTCGGGGATGATGACGCGGTGCTTGTCGAGCGTCTCGGTCATGAACTGGCAGAAGCGGTCGTTGGCGTCGAGGTCGGTGATCGGGGGCTGCTTGCGGATGCCCTCGAACGCCTCGAGGTACAGGTCGTACACGTGCTGGAGCCGTGGGTGCGACGCGACGGCGTACGGGAGCTCCTGCGCGGGGGCGGGCACAGAACTGAGCTGGACGTGCTTGCGAGAGGGCGAGAGGGCGAGAGGACGCACCTGGAGGTCGCGCAGCCTGTGGCTCAACCGCGTCGGCAGCTCTGTCCGAAGCTGCGCGAGGGGGGCGCAACGTTCAGTGCCGGCGCACGTCGAGTAGGAGGACACGGACGCAGGGAGAGGGACGCACAAAGTTGCCGCCCTTGATCAGCTTGTCGGCCTCCTCCTTCTCGCCCTTGTTGCGGCCGGCGTTGCCAAAGTTGATCATGTGCTTGAGCGAGATCGGGGTCGAGTGCTTGGACGCGTAGCTCTCGATGACCTTGTTGAGGAAGAAGGCCGGCACGGTCGACTTGCGCGTCGCGTGCTGCATGGTGGGCGGTTGCGCGAGGAGGTGTCGGTCGAGAGGGGGAGGGTCAGGGGGAGGTGAGGCGGGGAGGCGGCGTAGCCTGTCAAGGGGGCAACAAGGGTCAGTGTCGGTGCGCGCATGCTCCAGGAGCGTCCAGAGGGAGGGCTCACCGGTGCGGGAGATGATCGAGTTGGCGAGGTGAAGTGGACGAGTGCGGCACGGCGCGAGGAGCGGCGACGACGAGTTGAGGTTGTGGCAGAGGTGCCTGTGTCGCGAGTGCACTGGTCGGTGCTCTAGCTGAGGTGCGAGCGAGAGGTTGAGAGCTGGGCGAGGTTGCTGTCCGGCTCGAGTCGTTCCTCGAGCCGACTCAACCTCTCGACACGCCCGACTCGCTCGTGCAGCTACAGCGAGCACCGCCAGCTCTCTGCTGCACCCCAACATCCCCACCACCGCGACCGCTCAGCTCCCTGTGCGACCACCACCTTCGCGACCTCGCTCCCTCATCGCTCCCCTCGACGTTGGCGGCCACCGACACTCCGCCTCGTCCCCTAACCACGCCCGCTCCACCTTGCACGCTACCCAAGAGCCCAATCGTCCCCCGCATCACCCCGCCAGCCCTCCCCCTCGCCTCTCGCCATGCCCTCCGGCTCCCCCTCGACCCTCCTCGCGCGCTGGCCTTCCGCCAACCCATCCTCGGCCATCCCCGTCCTCGGCCGTGCCCTCACCACCTCACGCCCGGGCCTCTCGACCGGCCGCCGCGCCGTCCAGATCCGCCCCTTTCGCCTCCCCGCGAGCGACGCCAACGGGCCCGACGGCCGCGCCATGTACGTCGTGCGGCACCTCGACGGCTCGTCCGACCGCGTCGACGTCTTTGTCGAGGACCCGGCCGCAAAGGGTGCACGGGTGGAAGCGGCGACGGACAAGGGCAAGGGGCGGGCGAGGGACGGGGAGGACGAGGTCATGGCGCGCCAGGAGGACGACGAGAACGGCGGCAGCGGCGCCGTCGCGCACTCGCGCTGGACGCACTGCGCCGTCGGTCTCCCACCCGGCACCACTTCCACCTCTGCCCCACCTCCCGGCGGCGGTGGCGCCGGCGCCCTCTTCGACACGTTCATCCAGCGCGCCCTCCTCGCGCCGCCAGCTCCCGGGGGCCAGCCCGCTCCGCAGCGCGACCCGGCAGCGTGGCAGCCGCGCGCGCAGGCCGTCTCGCTCGAGGGGTACACGTTCGTCGTCGGAGGAGGGGCAGGAGCGGGGTCGGTGGGCGCGGGCGCGGACTGGGAGGTCAAGGTGAGCAGCGTCGGGCTCAAGGGCGGGTCGGCGAGCGGCACGACGAGAGGGTGCTTGATCGAGGTGCGCCCCCCATTCTCTCTCCTCTCCTTTCTCCTGACTCGCAGCACCCGAGCTGACTGTCGAGCACGCCCCGCCGCCAGGTCACCTACCTCCCCGTCCCCTACCTCCCCGCCGGCTCGACGTTCGTCCACGACTTTGTCCTGTCGCTCTTCCCGCCCGCTGCCGTCAAGAACGGCGAGATCGAGCTCGTGTCGATCGGCGAGGACGTGTTTGTCGACGCGGGCTTGCTTGACCCGCCCGTGGACGAGGGCGACGAGGGACGGTGGGAGTGGAGGACCAAGCACTCGACGTTTGCGTGCGTCCCGCCCTCTCTCTCCCTCTCTTTCGCCTCTCTCTCGAGGGGACTACACTGACTCGACAGTGCGCTCGCAGGTACGTGCACCAGTTCAAGAAGGAGGGGTTGTTGTAGACGCGCGAGGGAGGCGAAGCTGCGGGACAGCTCGCCGACGAAGCCGAGTTGCACGCTCTTGGCGACCGTACTTGTCCGAGCAGAGACTGCGAGAGCCATGACAGAGTTGCGGAGAGAGAAAGCGAGAGAGGGAGCGCAAGAGTAAGTTGGCCAGCCGACGCGCGCTCTCGCGGCCCAGTCCCTCGAACGAGATGAGACCTCTCGCCTCGACCAGCTCTCGACCGGCGCCATGTCGCAGCAAGCGGCGTACCTGCTGCGCGAGTTCCTCCAGAGCACCAACTGGTCGACCTGGGACAACCACTACGCGTCCTTCACGCACCCGACGCGCCAGCTCCTCGACTTCTCGGTCCCGACCGGGCTCCACCTCTCGACGTCGTCGCGCCCGACCCTGGGCCTCACGCCGGGCCTCACCCTCTCGAGCCTCGTGCCCGAGGCCGTCCCCTCGTACCCGCCCACGCCCGCCCCGGTCCTCGGTCCACCAGGGACGGCCCTCCTCGCCGGCCAGCTGTCGTACCTGTTCACGTCGGCGCCCTTGTTCCCGACGAGCACCAGGCGCAGCGCGGTCGGCGCACAGCGCATCCGGTTCAAGGACGTCGTGCAGAGCTTCCCGCTCGGGAGCGTGCCGGCTCGGCCAGAGCTGCGCGAGGACGCGCTCCCGACTTGGAGCGGCGGCGAGAGGGTCGACCGTGCAGGTGCGTCGCTCCTGTCCTCTCTGTACTGGAGGGGGTGCGTGCAGCAGAGCCGACCTTTCGATTCCTCCCCCTCCCCCTCGCCGAGCAGACTACCTCCTGTACGGCCGCCTGTACGCCCCGACGCCCCGCCTCGACGCCCTCTACGTCCACCGCTTCGCCCCGACCCTCCAAGCCCTCGTCTCGCTCATCACCGTCCCCTCACCCGCCCCGGCCCCGACCCTCTCTTGGGAGTCGCCCGACCCCTCGTCCTTCGCCGCCTCGACCTCTGCCGGCGCCGGCGCCGGCCCGCCCGCGAGCGCCCCAGCAGCGACGTCGGGCCCGCTCGCGCGCCTGAGCGAGCTCGAGCTCAAGCTCCAGCAGGACACGGGGCGGTGGAGCGCAGAGTACAGCTATGCGGTCGGCGACGGCATGTGGGGACTGCGCGGGCTGTACAACTTTGGGCGGTCGGGCGCGCCGGGAGGAGGAGCGGGCCTCGGCGTCGGGGAGGAGCCGCCCGTCGCGCTCGAGGGCGGTGTCGGCGGCGGCGGCGAGGTGCCGGCCGAGCAGGACGAGGGCGGCAGCGACGGCGACACGCCCGGCGGGCTCAAGGGCCGCTGGTCGGCCGGCGGCGAGATCTACTTCTCGGCGCAGGAGCGCTCGGCGGGCGTCTCGACCGGCGTCCGGTTCGTCACCGTCCCCGAATCGGCCGGCGGGCCCGCCCAGCCCCCGACGTACGCGACCGCGACGCTCAACCCGATCATGGGGCAGGTCCAGGCCGGGTACGCCGTCCAGGTCGGGCGCGACGCGAGCCTCGCGAGCAGGTTCGACTTTAACCTGTACTCGTACGACGCCGACTTGACCGTCGGCGGCGAGTGGTTCTACCGCCGCGCTCCCCCTCCTGTCGCTCCTCTTCCTCTTTCTCCACCGCCGTCGACGAGGACGACGCCGAGCTCGCCACAGGACACGGTCGACGGCGCAGGCGACACGACGTTCGACGCGTTCGCGCGCGGCGCAGACGACGACGAGACGAGGCGGCGCAAGCGCAACATGGACGCCGACAACGAGGTGCTCGGCGTCCTAAAGGTCCGCGCGTCGACGAGCTCCGTGCGTCCTCCCTCTCCTCTCTCTCGCCCCCTCTCTCGCCGTCGAGCTCGACCGACTCAAACCTGACCGCCTCGTGCCCGCACCCGCAGATGGTGGCCCTCCTGTGGGAAGGCCGCCTCGGCGACTTTCTCGTCTCGGCCGGCCTCGTCGCCGACCTGCGCCAGGCGACGCTCAGCCGAGGACGCCGCAGCCCGATCAGCAGCGTCGGCATGTCGCTGTCGTACTGGGCCTGAGCGTGCGCGTGCGCGGGGCGAGGGCGCGACGAGGAACGAGCGCGCATGATACCCCCCCCCCCCCCTTTTCTCTCCTCTCGATACCCCTCTTTCTCTCTCTCTCTCTCTCGGCGACAACCTGCACTCGGAACGATTCGCTATTGACAAGTTCGAGAGGACAGAAGCGAGAGGAGAGAAGTGGGGAGGGAAAGCGAGAAGCGAGAGGAGAGAGGGGACACGCGACGAGTTCTACAAAGGGGGTGCGACGACGACGAAACGGGCTCACGCGCCCTCGCTCGCGACCGTCTCCTCCTTCTTGCCGCGACCGGTGAGCTTGCGCAGGCGGTCCTTGGCGCCATCCTTGGCCCAGATGGCCGTGCGGATCGGGCGGTACTGCATCTTGCCGCGGTGGCTGCGCAGTAGAGGAGGAGCGTCAGGACTCGAGCTTCGTCGTGCGACGGTGACGAGGAGGGAAGACGAGAGAGGGCGGCGAGAGATGAGAGGAGAGAGAAGAGAGGAGGGAGGGAGGGCGAGGAGGAGGAGGGGGAGAGAGAGAGGGACGCACCGCGACTCGAGAGCCTTCTTGTGCGCGCGGTCGATCTGCCTCTGCTCGTCCTTGTCGATGACGCCATCGTCGTTGGCGTGCGAGTTCTTGACGGCCTGCTCGGACTGGCCCTCCTGCGAGTCGCGAAGAGAGGGTCGGTCAGTTTGGCAAGACGACGACGACGACGACGACGACGACGACGACGACGACGACGACGACGACGACGACGACGAGGAACACGGCGACGCACGATGCGGTCGTACGTCTCGAACTCGTGGCGCTGCGTCTGGGTCGTGGCATACCTGCGAGAGGAATGGAGAAAGGGTCAGTCGAGTCGAGGCGAGGCGAGAGAAGAGGAGGAAGGGAAAGGAGGACGCACGCCTCGTGGTCGGCGTCAAGGCCCGAGTCGAGGACGACCGTGGTCGTGAGCCAGGCGACGATGTCGTAGTCGTGCGTCTTCTTGCACTGGTCGTTGATGTAGTTGGCGCGGAGCGAGGGCGACTTGGGCACGATGACCGGGATCCGGACCTCCTTGGGCTCGTCGTCGACGAGCTCGGACAGCCACAGCGTCGCGAACGCGTCTCGCTTGCTGCCGAGCGGACCGATCTGGATCTTGGAGCCGCCATAGTCGAAGTAGAGCGCGCTCGAGTAGCGGTCGTACGTCGGGAGGCGGATGTCGTCGTCGACCTCCCACTCGAGCGAGCCGTCGGCCTGCTGCGTCGCGGCGCGGCCCGGGATCTTCTGCTTGGCCTCGGACGTCGACAGGACGAGCTTCTTCTCGGCCCAGTCAAAGTCGGCGTCGGCGACCGGCTCGACACGGATCGGCGCCGTGACGCAGACCGTGCCCGTGTCGAAGCCCGACAGCTCCTTGGGCAGCGACAGGTTGACGCCCTTGAACAGGAGCGAGATGCGGGCCTTGCCGCTGTGCGAGAGGGAGGGAAGAGAGGAGCAGAGGGGAGAGGGGAGGAAGGCAAAAGTCAGCACGGACCCCCGAAAGGGCTCGCGAGAGGGAAAAGGCGGGACGCACAAGCCGACGCCGTCACGCAGGCTGTACGTGCGCGTCACCTGGGACGAGTTGGCGAACACCTCGTTGAGCGGGAGGTTGATGATGCCGAGGATCGGGTCGTGCTCGCGCAGGCGGGCGTCGCGAACGACGAGGCGAAGGGTCGCGCGCCGGTAGTCGCGCACGAACGTCTCGGTACCGGCTTCAAAGTATGGCATGCTCGAGAAAACCTTGGTACGGGTCCTGCGCGACAGAGTAGAAGCATCAGTGACAGGCCAAAGGGAAACGGCACGTCGACCGACACCTCCCGCCGGGCTACGCCGCCCTCGAATCGAGACGAAAGAGAAGTGTTGGACGCACTTGAAGATGAGGTCGTCGTTGAGGACGTACTCGACGTAGGTCGAGACGACGTTGTCGCCTTGCTCGCTCGGCTCGTCCGTGTCCTGGCCGGCGGCGCCCTCGCGGTGGCGACCGCTCGCGCCCTTGAGGTTCTGGCTCTCGACGTTGATGAGGTGGTGCACGATGACGGACAGGATGCCGGCCGGGTACTGGGGGTCGGGCGGCGTGCGGGCGACGTCGGCCTCCTCGGGCGTGTCGAGCTTGTTCTCGGGCAGCTTGAGCTCGGGGTGGTCCTGGAGCTCCTTCGGGAGCGTGTGGTCGATGCCGGCGGCCTTCTTGAGCGAGCTGCAGGCGTGGCAAGAGCGAGGGTCAGGACGAAATTGAGAGGAAAAGTCGGCGGAAGGGGGGGAAGGTCGGAGACGCCCGGCGCCGCTCCGGCCGGCGACGCCGGTTCTCCTGACGAGCGTGGGACGTACGGGTTGAGCTTGGCCTTCTCGTAGTACCCGACAGACCACGTGATCGTGCCCGACATCGAGTCGGCGTCCTCGAAGCCCATGAGCTCGTCCGTGCGGTGCTGCATCTCGTTCGGCTTGAGCATGAGGTCGGTGACCGGCACGTTGACGCGACCGACGAGGTCGTCGGCGCTGACCTTGTCCGAGTCCCAGAGCTGGATCGACACTTTCTCGCCCGCGCGAACCTCTTCGGCCGTGACGAGCAGGACAAAGTGCTGCTCCCACACCGGGTTGAGGTCCTGCGTAATGATGCGCGTCGAGGCCAAAGGACGACCCAGCTTCTGGTACGCGATTGCGACGTACGGGTCGCTGTAGCCGTTGTCGTCCTGGGCGGACAGCGAGGAAGCATGGTGGACGCAGACGAAGATTAGGCCGAGGGCGTCCGTTTGGCGTTTAATGCCGTCGCCGGCGAGCATCTGAGCGATGTTGAGCGTCATGGACTTGGGCGCGCACTGTTTGCAGGAAAAATGAGGTCAGGAAGTTGACCTTCCCAAGTCGGCGCCGACGGCTCTCTCGGCGGACCGGACTCACGTAGATGGATGCACTGTGTACGACAGAGTGTACTGTCAGTCCCAGACTATCTGAGGAGAGAGAGGTGGACGCACGCAGCAGCGATCGAGGACTGGACGAGGCCGCTGACGAGCGGGAGGTCGAGGACGTTCGGGAGTGCCCGCGTCATCGGGATTGCCGACTGCGAGGTTCAAGGACACTGTCAGTCACTGTCTGATGGGCCGAGGAGGGAGAGGAGGGACGCACAGCCTCGACGGCGGGAACGCCCATGAGGGTGAACGTGACGTTGCGGATGAAGGGCGCCTCGGACACCATCTGGCAGCGCAGGCGGACCGTACCGACGACGCTCTCGACCGCGATCCAGATGGGCACAGGGATGTGGAACAGGTCGTAGGCGCCGAGGAAGAACTTCATGATGAGCGAGATGTTTTTGTTGTGGCTCTTGGCCTCGCCCGGCGGCGCAAAGCTGCGGGACGTCAAGGGAACAGTCAGTAGGTCGTCGAGGGAGGAAGACAAGGCGAGGACGCACTAGGCGAAGCTGATCTCGTAGTTGACGTAGTCGCCGGCTTGGTCCTGCAGGCGACGACGAGGTGGTCAGCTCGTCGCCCCCTGACCTCCAGACCCACTCACAGTGTCTACGCCCTCCCTTCTCTAGGGCCGAGGCGATGCTCGAGCCGAGGAGAGCCTTGAAAGAAGAAGGGAAAGAGGGGACGCACCTCGTCCTCGGGCGTCTCCTCCTTGAGCACGGCGTCGGCCTTGTCCTTCTGCTCCTTTTCCTGCTCCTCCTCCGACTTGATGCGGCGGTTCGGGTCGAGCGCCGCCTCGCGGTCGCCCTGGTCGATCCATTCCTCGCGCGGGTACTCCTTGTCGCTCGGCTGGTCGGGGAGCGCGCGCATGTTGAGGATGCGGAACGCGTTCTTGCCGAGCGTAAAGTCGTCGATCTTGACGGCGTCGACAAAGCCTGAGAGGGTCGGGGGACGCAGCGAGGGCGAGGAGAAGAGGAGAGGAGGGGAAGGAGGGGACCGTGCGCGACGAGTCAGTACGGCTCTCGAGGCGAACACGAGTGGAGGAAGGAGGGGGCGCACCAGGAAGCGAGGCCTGGATGACGTCCTCGACCATGTCGACGACCGACGTGAAGAGCTCGGGGTTGATGAGGGGCCAGACGACCTTGACGAAGGCGTTGAGCCACTCGGTGCTGCGGGTGCGGGCGGAAGTGGCGCGGTCAGTCGACCTATCGGGCCTCTACCTCGCTCATCCGCGACATGCAGGGCCCGCACGGCGAGGAAAAGGGGACGGGACGACGCACCTCTCGGGCGTAGGCGGCGAGTGCTGCTCGCCGCGCTGCTTGTGCATCTCGAGGCGGATGCGCTCGAGCTCCTTCTCGACCTTGCGGATGACGATGCCGTGCGCGAAGAAGATGGCGACGGCGATGCCGCCGATGAGCTGCGTGCGGAAGAAGAAGGCGGCCCAGCTGCCGCGCCACGCCGTGAAGAACCAGATGAGGCCGAGGGCGCCGATGACGGCGAACGCGTAGCCGTTGATGGTGCCGACGATCGACTTGAGCGAGTTCTGGTCGACAGGAGGCGGGAACGTGTACAGGTTGAGATTGGTCGGCTCGACCGGGTTGGGCGAGATCTTGTCGAGCGGCGCGCCGTCGCCAGGGCGGTTGAGGGCCGGGCCGGGCTTGTCGGTCCTGGACGGGTTGATGTGGTCCGGGTCGAACAGCTGCGGCTTCTGGAAGTCGGCGAGGTCGGCGTCCTTGATCTGGACCTGGCGGCCCGTGACCGGGTCGAACACCTCGCGGACGCCCTTGCGCTCAAAGTCCTGCGCGTTCGTCTGCGGGTTCTGGCGCGCCTTCTTCATCGCCTCGTCCTTCTCGGACTGCCCGGCCGACTTGCCCTGCTCGCTCGACTCGCCGCGCTTGTCGCCGCCGCCGTCCTGCGCCGCAGCGGCAGAGCCGGAACCCGACGAGTCGCGCTCGGCGGCCTGGCGACGCTGCTCGGCCTCGAGCTGCTGCTGCTTGAGCTGCTCGCCCTTTGCCGAGTGGTCCTCGGTCATGGCGGCCTGCTGCTGGAGGAAAGTGCTGACGGACGGCACCTGCGCGAGACGGTCCGAGAGTCAGTGCCTGGTTTGCCGTCCATGCGCTCGAAAGTGGACGGCGACGCACCTTGTGGCGAGCACTGTGGACGACGGGACGGTTAGTGTTCGTCTACCGCTGGCGAGAGGAGGAGGTGGAGCGGACGCACTCGTAACCTTGGCCGAGCCTCGAGGACGGCGGGTGCTGGTTGTACGCCGACGGGTCGACGCCCGGCAGCTTGCTCGGGTCGCTGTTGACCCCTGACATGGCTCGAAGCTGGGAGCGTAGCGGTGGGAGAAGAGCGAAGAGCTGCTGCACCTTGGCTTCGAGTGACGCTGCAGCGATCTCGCCCCACAACCGCAGCCTTGTCTTTGAATTCGCTCGCGGTTGCTGAAGATCCGCGGTGCAAGCGTCGCAGTCCCGCACGTCGAGCGTTTGTCGAGCTTCCCTGCCGACCATGCGACGAGCAAGGAAGGGGTCCGTGCGTCTTCGCGGGCGCACGCCGTCTCCTCTTCGCTTTCGGCGCACGTGCAAGAGGGCTATGTGATTGGCACGGGCGATCCGGCATTGTGCGAGAGGCGGGCTACGACGAGGCGACGGCGGGCGCGACTGGCTCTTGCACTCCTTCTTGCACCTCGGAAACGGTCCTGACGACCCGCCAGCTCGTGCCCCGCTGTCGGCCAGGGCGAGGGAGACTCGATCGCGAGGCCAGCCGCCGGCCTCCCTTCACCATCGTGCGCACTCGCCGCGGGCCGGGGGGACGATCCTTTTTCGCGCTCACCTCGGCTGCCGCACGCTGGCTTCTGTTGCGCGTGCTTGAGCATGTTCTCGCTCGATCGGCCGTCCCCTCCCTCGAGCAGACGAGGCCCGTTCGCCTGGGTCGAACCTCGGCAGGAAAGGTGGAACCGCTGCTGCAGCGCCGCCCTTCGAGCGGGCGCAAGCCTGTCTCGCCGGACCCGCAGGCTGCCAGCCCTCGCTGTGCAGCCCTCTTGAGTCGCGCACTGCCATGCACGACGACCTCCAGGGCACCGTCGTCCCCTCGCTCCTCGTCCAGCACCCGCGCGAGTCGTTCCCGGCGCCGCCGCCGCCGACCGTCGTCCCGGGCTTCCCTCTCGCCTCGTCGCCGTCGTCGTCGTCGTCGTCGAGCGTCGGGCTGTACGGCCCCGGCTACGTCGCAGAGCCGCTCGCGTACGGCGACCCGCACGCCGCTGCGTTCCACTCGGTGCACGCACCCTGGCTCCCTCCCCCTCCTCCTCCTCTCGCCGCGGCACCCTCCACGTCGTTCGGCGCTCCCCCACCCTCGTCCTCGTCGACTGGCTTCTTGGCGCGCCTGAGCCCGAGCCTGAGCCCGGTCGACGGCCTGTCCGCCGCGTGGCCCATGCCCTCGACGGCAGCGGCGCTCACGGTGGGCGACGTCCTCGGCTCGGTGCCGGGCGTTCCCGCCGCGTCGTCCGCCAGCCACCGGGGCCCTTTCGCTCATCTCGCGTCGCAGGCCGGTCCAGACGGCGGATTCGAGAACGAGGTGAGCCCCGTCGAGCCCCTCTCTGTCGTCGAGCGAGAGCTGACCTCGCCCGCCTACTTCCCTCCCTCTCCTCCCTCCCTCTTTGCCTCCCTTCCCTCGCTCTCGCCCGTCGTTCGTCGTCGTCACCTCGCCTGCAGCACGTCGTCGAGGGTCTAATCGGTCTCGCGCCGCGCGTCAAGCCGTTCGTCGCCAAGTTGAGCCACCTCCTGTCGCAGCCGCACAACTTCCAGGACTGCGTCGTGTGGGACAGCTCTGGCGCGTCCTTCATCCTCAACGCCAACGAGCGCTTCGTCGGCGACGTCCTCCCTCGCCTGTTTGGTCACGGTAACGTGGCGAGCTTCACTCGTGCGTCCCCTCTTGCGCCGTCAACTCCCTTTCTCGACCTCGTCGGCTCACTTTGTTCCTCTCCCGCAAACAGGCCAGCTCAACGTGCGCCCCCCTCTCCCTCTCATTCCTCCCTCGTCGCCTCGTCACTGTCGACCAAAAGCTGACCGACTCTCTCGCCATGCGCGGGTTTACGGCTTCCGTCGCCTCTCGGCCGCCGAGCTCGTCGCGCGCGTCGACATCGACTCGACCGACGGGTACAGCGCGTGGTCGCACCCAGACTTTACTCGCGACGACAGGTCGACCCTGCACCGCATGACGCCGAGGCCGTCGCGTGCTCGCCAGCTCAAGAAGGCCAAGAAGCAGGCGGTCGAGCACATGATGGCGTCGTCGTCGGCGCGTCCGAGGGAGCGCTCGACGACGGACCCGACTACGACGACAAGCTCGGGCTCGAGCGTCGCGAGCTCGAGCGTCTCGCCGGCGTTCGCGCACTGGCAGCCCCTGCCGGCGGGCGACCCGCCGCTCGCGCAGTCCGGTCCCGTCGCCACGTCGCCCACGTCGTACGTCGGCGACTACCCGTAGTTGGCGTCGTCGTCCGACTCGAGCCTGTTCGCCCTGTTCCCGCCGACCGACGCCGCGCCGGTCAGCAACACGCTCGGCCTCCTGCGGGGCGCGCCGACTTACTCGCTCGCGCCCAGCTCGCCACATGACAGCTTTCCTCCCCTTTCCTGAGCCTGTCCCGCCCTCCTGTCTGTGCACCTGTTGTCGGTGCGTCTCTCTCTCTCTCTCTCTCTCTCTCTCGATGGGCGGCGGATCGGCGCACTGACCGCGACTTGCTCGACCGCAGCGCCGGCCGCGCTCTCCCCGACCTCGCCGCACCCGCGCGTCTCTCTGTACCTACTCTGTGACTGCCCTTCTGGCCTGCGACCGAGCTTTTTCCTCGCCTCTTGCGGGCCGTGCACGAGAGCGTCGAAAGCGAAAGCGAGAGCAGGAGCCCGGCGAGCTGGGTGACGCCGGCTTTTGCCATGACGGGTTCGAGAGAAGCCCGCTCGAGCCTGCGGACGACCGTCGACCTTGAAGCTGGTCCGCGCCGGAATGCGCAGAGCGGATCTGCAAGCTTGCAAATTGCAAGCTCTCTCCTCAAGCGTCAGCGGCGAGCTCGTTGCGCCGGCCCGGAAGACGCAAACAGGTCCAAGCGCCGGAGCTCCACCGTGTCGCGGCGTCGATGAGCCCAGAAAGAGCCAGAAACGGGACGAGGCGGTGCGCAGAAGGCGGTGGCGAGGCCGGCGCTGGAGAGCAGGGATCGCCCTGTGGGGCGCGCAAATTGCAAAGCGGAAGCCGGCACAGGGGCGGCCGGCGCACGGTGAGCCTCCACCGGCGGCCGCTGGCTGCCTTTCGCGCCGACGGTCGCGCTCCCTCCCTCGCCTCACCCAAAAGCTCGTCCTCCTCCTCCTATCGCCGTGCTGCACTCGGTCACCCCGTTGCGGTGCGCCATGTACCGCAGCGACGGCAACGCGTGGTACCCGCCGCCCTCGGGTCAGCAGAACGACGACTCGGCGACCCTGTCAACGAGTGCACCGCCCCCTCTTCCCGAGCCGCCACAGCACCACCACCACTACCAGCACGACATGCAGTACGCCTACTACGACCAGGGCTACGACCCGCAGCTGTACTACTCGCCCGAGCAGCAGTACGCAGCGCCCGCTGCCGACTCGTCGTTCCCGGCCCCCTCGTCGTTCGCCACCGCGCCGGCTCAGCTCCCCGTCCCTCCTGGGCCCGCGGCCAGCTTCGACCAGTACTCGACCGTGCAGTATGCGCACGACCGCATGCACTCGGCCGTCGAGTCGGCGCGGTGGACGGGCGAGTTTGACAGCTCGCCGAGCCTCCAGCCTCATCAGCAGCACCACCACTACCTCTCGACGACGACGACGACGACGACGAGCTCGTCCCACTCGGCGCTCGGCAGCTACGCGCACGCCTACGCCTCGCAGAGCGGCAGCGGCTCGGACGAGGCGGCCCGCCGTCGCTCGGTCGCCAGCAGCACCGACTCGGGCGACAGCCCTCGCATTGGCGCTCTCGGCCTTCCTATCGAGGTGCGCCCCCTTCTCTCTCCCCTCTTTCCGAGTCCTCGAGCTGACCTTGTTCTCTCGCGACAGGACGACCCTTCCCTTCCACCGCCCGAGATCAAGCCGTTCGTCCAGAAGCTGTTCAGCATGCTCAGCGACCCAGAGCACTACCAGGACGTCATCTTGTGGAAGTGCGTCCCACTCTGGCTCTCATACCCCTCCACCAGGTCGTCGAGCTGACCCCACGACCGAGCGCAGCCACGCCGGCGACGCCTTCTTCGTCGCCCACAACGACCGCTTCATCAACGAGGTGCTGCCGAACGCGTTCGGGCACTCGAACGTCCACTCTTTCACTCGTGCGTCCCGCTTCGTCCCCCCTCGTGTCGCACACGACGTCACACTGACCCCTCGCAATCACCTACAGGCCAGCTGAACGTGAGCTCTCGTCCTCCCCACCCACCCTCGAAGGACCGTCCGTATATTGCGCACGTTGTCTGACCCAGGCCCTCGTCCCGCACAGGTCTACAACTTCCAGCGCATGAACGTGGCGCAGCTGCGCTCGGCGCTCGACCTCCAGGGCGGCATCGCCGGCGCCTACTCGGGCTGGTCGCACCCGCAGTTCCGCCGCGGCGACCCCTCGACGCTCGCGCACCTGACGCCGCGCCCGAGCCGCGCACGCCTCATCCGCAAGCTCGAGAAGCAGTACGGCGGGTCGAGCACGAGCGCTGCGAGCGGCGCTCGCAGCGCCGGGAGCGCGAGCGCGAGTGCGAGCAGTGGGGGTTCGAGCGCGAGTCCGAGCACGGGGCCGATCAGCCCGATGTCGTCGGCGACGAAGAGGCTCGCCAACCCGCCGACCCTCACGCCGCACCATCATCAGCAGCACCCTCAACAGCGCATGCAGGCGCCCGCCAGCCATCCTCACGCTCGCCCGGATCCTCCATACCCTTAAAACGCGCCCCTCGACCTCTTTCTCCCCTCTCTCATTCTCTCTCTCTCTCGGGGTCGTTCGTCGTCATCTATCCGTCCAGGGCTCCAGTCTGCGCGCGCACACGACCGTGTTGTCTCTGTCCCTTTCGACCCTTCCTTTCCCTCGCACAAACGCATACCTTTCTCTCGTTCATCTAGCTCTCTCCTCTCTCTCTCGTAAGTGCCTAATGACACTAGTGCCTCCTTTCCTTCTCGTGATCCTGAGAGCGAGAAAGAAAGAAGGAAAAAGCTCGTGCAAGGAGAGAGAGCGAGAGAAAGACTACGCTCGAGGCTCGCCGCCAAACCCGCCCTGCCTCCACGTGAACCGCACGGCCGGCCTGCCCTGCCCCGTCGCGCCCTGCCCGTCGTCGCCGACACCCTCGCCCTCGACCTGAGGCGCCGCAGCCGCCATCGTCGTCGCCTGCACGCTCGGCACGAACGGCACGGGCGGCGCGAGCGCCGCGGCCATTGCCGCCGCCGAGGAGGGCGCACCACGCCTCGCCGGCGCCGGTACGCGCTCGCGCTCGCGCTCGGGCGAGGGGATGGGCGTCGAGCCGTCGTCGAGGCCGGCGTAGTTGCGGCGCACCTTGCGCTCGCGGAGCTGGCGGGGCGGTGCCGGCGCCGAGGTCGAGGAGGGGCGAGGAGCGGGAGGCGCGAGCGTCGTGTGCTCGTCGATGCGGGTGAAGATGTCGACGGCTTGGGCGAGCCAGGGGTCCGACAGGGCGTCGGCGGGCGAGGCGCCGACGAGGGTGTGCTTGGCGGCGAACGACGACGATGAGGAGGACGGTGCGCCTCGACGGGGCTTGGCGACCGAGCACGCCTTGTCGAGCTTCTTGAGGTTCCCCTCGGCCCACCACGCGTCGCGCTCGCTCCCGCCCGCGTCTCCCTCTCCCTCGCCGCCCTCCTCGCCGCCGACCAAGCCGCACAAGAAGGCGCCGACGCCGCTCGCGAGCGCCCAGTCCGAGTACCCGCCCTCGAGGACGCCGAGGACCTTGCCGCCCGCGCGCCGCTCGGCGAGGAGCGCGGCGTCGCGCGCGAACCGGCGGTAGAAGGACGTCGGGACGTTGCGCCCGTGGCGCGACATGCCGGCCGACTCGTGCTGCGAGGCGTCGAAGCCTGGTCGCGGAGGGTCAGCGCCGTGAGAGGAGAGAGAGAGAGAGAGAGTGGGAGAGAGTGGGAGAGAGAGACGAGGACGCACCCGCCGAAACGATCACCAAAGTCTCGTCCCCAGCTGCGCCCGTCCTCTCGCAAAACTCGTCCGCCCTGCCGCCCAACGCGTCCCAGTACCGCGGGTACAGCTCGTCGTGGAACTGCTGCTCCGAGGAAAAGGCGTCCAGGTGCACGTTCGAGATGTGCTGGTGGTGCGCGCCCGAGAGCGAGAGGGACGCGGCGGCGACGAGGGTGGGGTCGCCGTCCTCGCAGGCTGTGGGGGGTTGAGGGGGTGTCAGGGCGGGGCGCGAGGGAGGAGAGGGAGAGGGGCGTGAGGGAGGGGGAGGGAGATGGGACGCACGGTACGACCAGATGTCGTGCACGGACCCGTACATGACCTGGAGCGGCCTCGGTCTCGGCTTCTCTTCCTCCTTTCCCTCCTTTCCCTCCTTCTCCTCCTCCCTCCCTTTCCCCTCCCGCCCAGCCTCGCCCCCCTTCCTCGCCGCCGCCGCCGCCGCCGCCGCCTTCCTCGGCGACCCCTTCCTCGGCGACGCCCTCGCGGCGCTCGCAGCAGCGGCAGCAGCGGCAGCGAGCGCGCGCTCGTCGTGCTCGGAGACGACGCGCTGCGCGTCGGCGTTGAGGCGCCAGACGATCTCCTGCGTGCCGTTGCCGTGGTGCTGCGGGCGGGTGAGGTGCGGGTGCGGGTGAGCGAGGGGGTCCGGAGTGTGAGAGGATGAGAGGGTGAGAGGGTGTGAGAGTGTGAGAGTGTGAGAGTGTGAGGGGTGCGAGGGCAGCGAGGAAAGGAGAGGAAGGGAGGCAGGGAGGGAGGCAGGGAGGGACGCAAGGAGAGAGGGAGAGGAAGGGAGAACAAGGGACGCACAAGGTCGATGTCGAGGATGATGACGCGGTTGATGCCGTGCTTGATGTGGGCTGCGTGCGCGCAGAGTCGACTCGGTCAGGGTCGGGCGCGCGAGAAGGACGAGAGGCGACGAGAGAGGAGGAACGAGGGGAGGGACGCACCGTGAGCGGCCGCGACGGCCACGTTGTTGACGAAGCAGAACCCTTGCGGGTTCGACTCGCCGCAGTGCTGTGCGACGTGAGGCTCGGCGTCAGTCGTTGAAGTCCTCCTCGCGCGAGAGAGAGGGAGAGAGGGAGAGAGGGAGAGAGGGAGAAAGGGAGAGAGGGCGAGAGGGAGAGAGGGAGAGAGGGAGGAAAGAGAAAGACGCACATGCCCCGGCGGCCTCACGGCCACAAACCCCCTCCTCCCCTCGCCGGCCGCCCCTTCGACGACCCGATCGACCCCCTCGCACGCGGCGCCCAGTGCGCCAAAGATGGCGCCCTCGCTGCCCGGACACAGGTACAGGTCGCCCTGCGGGAGGTGGGGCGGGATCTCGGAGAAGAGGGGTGGGACGAGGAGCGAGGTGGGCGAGGTGCGGCACAGGTGCTGGAGCTGGGCGGGCCAGGGGAGCGGGGCGGACGAGGGTGGGCGGGAGGACGAGGGAGAGGCGGAGGTGGACGGGTCGCCGGGAGGAGGACGAGGTGGAGCGGGAGGTGTCGACGAGGCGGTCGACCACCCGTCGTTGCCGTCGGCGCCGTCGTCGCCCGGCGCCCGGTTCGGCACCGGGTGCACGACCCGCAGCGCAGCGTCGTCGACCCGCATCGTCGCCGTCGTGCTCAGAATGTCGAACGGCCCGCCGACGACCTCGAGCGCGGTCGCGGTCGCGGTCGCGCGAGGGAGGGCGCTCTGGGCGCCGCCGCCGAGGCTCAGGCCCTCGAGCAGCGCGTCGAGCCCCTCTGCGCCGCCCTCGTGCGCCCTCTCCCTCGCGCTCGCCGCCCCGCCCGTCGCGCTCACCGGCCCATCGTCCCCCCTTGCGCCGCCGCCGCCGCCCGCGCGCGCGCCGTCGAGCCTGGCCCACGCAGCAGCGACGCCCGTCTTGACAGCGCGTAGGCGCTCTGGGCGCTCGACGATGGTGCCAATGTCGGCGTTGCGGGCGTTGCGGTGGTGGGCGCACGC